GGAAGCGAGATGTTCCCCTCGTGCGTATTCAGTGGGATCGCCACGGAGCTACTTGGGAGGCAGAGGCTGACATTCGAGCACGTTTCTCAGATTTCCAGTTTTGATGTGCATATTTTCATGTTCCATGTACCTTTTTCATGTATAATCCGTTCGTTTTGAATTTCCGAGGACGGAAATTTTTAAGGAGGGAGGATTGTAATATCCTGTCAGTTTATTAATATAAATCATGTTTTAGTTCCGATATTATATCGTTGTCGAGTATTATTTTTGGAATTAATTATTTTCAGTCGAGATTACCCGAAATTATTTTCGACGTTCCGTTTACGTTCTGAATAATTTTGGTAATTAAGTATTATGCTTAATTAATTATTAAGCATTTAATTGTGATTAGTTATTAATTAATCACTTTCCAAAGCATCATAGCCGTACATAATTTTCCCAAATCATTTAATAAAGCCGTGAGCTTAATTTCTTTCTTCAAGTCAAGGAAACCATTTCCTTCTCCTTAAGTACTTGACGTGTCACCTTAGGAGGATTTATAAGGTGACTAATCATCTTAACCCCTTTTATATTATTCCAAGTGTCAAGCAAAATGTGAGGCCACATCACCACCTCATCATCCTAATTTTTCCTTACGGTTATTATATATATGTGTAAGTTGGAGAAATTTGCCTATCATTTTCTTCATCATTCAGCGTAGAGAGTATAGAGTGAGTTGTTAGATTGTGAGAGTTCTTCCAAGCTTAACACTTACCGCCAAGCTTAGTTCAAGTACCGCACTGTACGCGAGCTAGTACGCGCAACGCCTATCGCATTGAGCACGCACGCACACGCGATCACCGAACTAGCCAAGAGGTAATTACATGAGACATTTCTTGTCTATATTAATAATATCATGGTCGGTTTATATCAGGTTAACCGATTTCAAGTTAGCCATGTATCGTGTTTGTCGTGCGTGAAGTTCGGGTAGATCATGTCATGTTTTAATTCAAAATCCTTCGAGCAAACTTAGCATATCTAGCTATTTTATGCAATATCATGTCTATTCACTTTAAGTGTTCGAAGGAAGTTGATGTTCAGTCATTGATATTGGGCCGAAGGACGTTGATGACGGATCGTGTTGTTATCTATATGTGGGTTGTGAATAAACGCGCACTAGGGCCTTCGTT